GCGACGCAACGATCTGGGAATACCTGGCGCGACTCGGTATTCTGGTACCCCCTTTTCTCTTTTCAGAAAACCTCGGATAAAATCTCCACTGACGTCGTCAGTGAGTTTCGGCGTTGATGAGATATCTACAATGAGAGTTTGGACTTTTTCGTTAAATAAAAATCGTGTTCTCCACGAGGGTGGAGGAAGAGCGTCGTCTGACGCAGTGAATCAGATTCGCCGCCACCCGTGGCCATCGCTCGTTTTGATTTGGCTCTGTGCGAACGCTCTTTCGAATTCTCGTAGAAAATCGTTACAACGTGGACGAACTTGAATGTGAAATCGATGCTTGGTGTCCATGGTGTCCTCGAGAAAAGCTCGGTCTCGTCGATGCTCGTTCGATGTCCCTTCGATGATGCCCGTTGACTTTGGTTTACTATTGAGACGCCATTGAGTGCAACCAACCATCCCCATTAACTCTCCTTCTCCTCGATCGGACTAACTTCGTTCTGAAGGAGCTCGAACTTCGGGCTCAATGCCGGAAGTATGCTTTTAGTGCTGGTTTTAATCTGACTGTAGATGTCCAACGATTTCTTTGGTTCCAGATCCAGATCCAGCGTTTCCTCGATCAATCGCGGCGGGATGCTTCCGCTCCGTTTGTGGCTCGGCACAAACGTGCAACTCTCCGGCTTCTGATTCTTCGGTCTGTCCTCTTTGTGCTCCGGCGTCAAAGTGCCATTGCCCAGCTTCCGTTGCTGTTCCTGAAACGTGTCCTCTTGCACGTCGTCCTTCAACAACGCCCCGGTTATCACCGGCTTGTTGCTCTCCGATTTCCCGAAGTCGTAGCTGAGCGCCTTCTGCTCCATAATCTCGAGCTTGTTCGGCGTGGCTCCGTTCACTTGAAGATTAGGATTCGAGCGAACCGTGTCGGTGGAGATGCTGGCGTCTGTCGAGTCCTGCTGATCCATGGATCCTCCAGAACCCTGGGACACGTCCAGATTGTTCTGTTTGCTCATCATCGACGGCTGGAAACGGAGAAACACGATTTTCTATCATGATCTCTCTCTCGACGTTCTTGATTAAATGTTAAAAAGTGACTCTGCCCGTATTAGTGTGTTTCCTTTGAAAAAGAAACATACCTTTTCTTTATTTTCACACAAGTTTCTTTGCACAATTTATTACTTCAATATTGAAATTTCTTTCAAAGAAGTTTTTTTTACGTAATTTACGTTGTAATGCTATTAGAATTTCTCCTAGAAGATATTCTTTTATATAATTTACTTTAATTCCGGAATTATTAAGTCACGTTAATAAAAAAAAAAACTTATTAAACTTCGCTAGAAAAATATTTGTTCTCATCTTTACAAGTCCTATATAATTTATTAGAATTCCGAGGTAGTTTTGTAATCTATGTAATTTATTTTAAGCTTCGTTGAGAAACATGCTTATTCTTTTCACAAGTTCTTTTGTACAGTTCTTGGTTCCAGTATCAAAGTAAAGAGAAATAAGGACACTAATACGGATAGTTAACCTATTCACTTACGCTTTCCTCGGCGTCTTTCTCCATGCTTGACGTTTTTGACACATTCAGCAAGGTTTTCTCAGTGTCTGGTGATTTGTCGAATTCCACCCATTTCGAGCCACCCTCGAGTTTGCGCGATAACGTGTCGGATTCGTAGCTACCGCCGTACATCGGGTAACCCAGATGGCCCGCATCGTATTCCACTTGATTTCCATAACGATAGCTGGGATTAACCGAGCCCTGGCTGGAGATCGAAAGATCCGACTGCGACAGCCCCGTGTTCGTGCTACCGAATAGTCTCGTGTTCTCGAAACCTGGATCACACGGGTCCGCTTATTAAAAAAATACAGAGATATTCTTCGTCTGCAATATATGGATATGTCGAAGCATCTCCTTTGTCAAATTTTACGTTTCGTTTTCTACATCAGTAGACATCCAATTTTTTTTTTTTTTTTTTTTTTTGTTATTTTATTATATAGTTTTATTCTTAGAGTACTTCTATACGTACTCTGTGCAATTTCGTGTCTATAACCAGCAATAGAGCAACTAACGATACATTACAAGTACTTTAATTGTTTTAAATTTCATAAAGTCCGAGTAGAGCGTGTAATGACAATTATTAAATAAATTATCTTCAATATGGAACTTCCTTTCACCCGTCCCGATATTAAAAAAAAAAAAAAATACAACTCGATAACGCAAATTGAATGAAACTATTAAAATAAATTGATCGAAGAGATGAAATATTGCGTTAACGCGTCATTGATTCCCGATGGCGGGTTAAATGCGTAAAAACCTACAATCATTTCACCTTGATAGTCTAGTATTAAATTTTTATAGTCGTATAAAGTGACACGAAATTTAATATAACTAATTAAACTATTTTGAACGTTACAACAGATACAAATATAATGCTTTTTGTAACTTCCATAGAATTTTCCACCACGCGCGACAAGAGATGTTGTTCCATCAGAAACAGCAACAAACCTGGTGCTCTATCCTCCGGAATTTCTTCCCTGTGAACGAGAGCCTGCTGATCAGTAACCCCGGCAGTCACGTCATCGGTGGATCCTTTGTTAGCTTCAGGTTCCTCGTTCTGATAGCTTGGCTGCACTTCCACGACGAACGAGCAGCCGTTATCTTGGTACCTGCGATTTTTGTTATCCTCCATCGTCACCTAAAACCCCAGAAAACCACCAGGCGCTTCGTTAACTTCCTCCTACCGGTGGGTTCTTTTCATTAAGCCGCGCGTGTACGGTTTTTACACCGGCGAAAAGGAACACCGTTTATTTCCACGTCTCGTAAAAAAAAGGAAAGAGAGGGAGAAAAAAAAGGAGGGAGGGGGGAAGAAACAGAAAGAAACACGCGGCGAAGTATTAATCAACGGAATTTGCTTGCAGTGCGAAACGCAACAAGGGTGGAACAGAGTTGATCGTTTGACGAATGATCGTGTCATTAGCGAGGTTCGTCTTGCCTGCCTCGCAATCTCACCTCGACCCTTCGCTGCCGTTTCAACGGTGCAACATGATCAGACGCTGCACCGTTCGCTCGATGCACCCTGCAATTACCAGCTCGATGCATCATCAGATACTTCACTTCGGTCATCTACACGAGACGACGAGTGGAAAGACAAATAAGACAAAAAAGGTCTTAAACGGCTCTCGTGATCTACTATACGTTCAGGGAGATGTGTACTTCGAATTTAGAAATAGAAAGATTTACATCAATTTCAGAGAATAATATAGTACCGCGCACAGTCGTTGACTGGATATTTATTATTATTGTTCGTGAATATCTGTTGAATATTTATTTTTGAATTTATGTTTTATTTATAGTGAGTAAAACTGAATATTCTGTTTCGAGATTGCAAGAAAACATCTGTGAAGGATTACCTACTGATAATTAGGTAGATATGTTCATATATATATTTACATTTTCCGAGAAGGGCTAGGATATTTGTACATCTCTATTCGATAGCTTTTTAGAAAGAATCTGTAAAGTGTTGATGTATTAATAGTAATTGTGTATAACACCAGTTCTATTATCTGCGACAGATGCTGGATGTTAAAAGTATGAAACAACATTGTAAGAATATTTAATAAGAAAAGTGCAACGAAACCGTCTAGTTATATATATTACCAAAATTGATTTTATCGATGACATTTATTTTGTCCTAATTATTCTAGAATATTTACAAGTATAACAGATAATCTCTAAAGTAGGAAGCTTCTTAATTAATCTGAAGGAAGTCTCATCTTCCCGGGGAAATTTGAAACGTTTTACTTCGAAGTATCTAGCCAACGTGTTAATTAACCTGCTGTGATAGGAAACAAGCTTTGTTGGAGGTTAAATAAGCGCTATAGGAAATCGTATCTTTCCGTGATCGGTGGCAAGCGATATTCAAAACGAACGATAAACCGTGCACGCTGACAAAGGCACCGGCGGCTTATTCACATCGAAACTGGGAAATTCATTTCCACCCTATGAATTTCGTAGCCGATGTTTCTAGTTTACTGGTAACCTACCGCTCGCCCGCGGGTCGCCCCGAGTATAAATGCAACCGCGATAGAAGTTACTCGAGTCGACGGACCGCGGAATTAGTTCTCGCTATTGTTTCCAGTCTCTGCTACTCTGACGCGTTTCATTCGTCGGGCTGGCGTCGCGTCGCTCGCATCCATTTCCCCGAGGGGCACGTCGCTCACGCGTTCTGAATTATCGGCGATGTCAGAAAGGAAACGCATCCTCCGATCAATCGTCGAATAATCCAGCCAGTTCTCTCAATCCACAGTCGCAACTTTAAAAATTACGATACATTTTGCTACACACATTTTCAAATTTTTATCAAATATCACAGGTACGTGACAATCATACGGCAGCGTCGATGGAATTTCAAACTCTCATAATTTTTTTTTTTTTT